ACTTTATTGGAAGATTTTGTGGAAGTGATTTTCAGGCAAATTTTAAGCTGCATATTATGATTTGTATATGGTATGATTTTATTTGATTCCAAAAAATCTTAATAAATCATATGCTCGAATAAGTTAAATACCTAAAAATTTTTAAAGGCTTTTAAAATCTTAAATGAATAACTTGAGACTTTTAAAAGTCTAAATTAAATACACTAAGTTTTTTTTTAAAGTTTTAAAAAATCTTTAAAAATTTCAAATAAATACTGCCTCGAATCCTCATGGTTGTTTGTTTATGTTGCTTGATAAATAATCACTTGTTCTTTTCAAATGGACGTCGAAATTTTGTGACATTTATTTAAGATAACATTTCTGTTGCTTAATAAATAATCACTTTTTTTTTTTTTTAATTAATGGTTATGGACATCGAAATTTTGTAACAATTAAATTGACATTTATTGACTTAAGATGACATTCTATTTGTTGCGAGGGCCATGAGGCTATTGGTAGTTGAAACTCTTTAACAAGTTGAAAAAACAAATAAAAAATCTGATTTGCTATGAAACCAGCAGTTGACTCGATAGTAGAGCCAACTTTCTATATACAACACTAATATAATTTTATTAATATGATATGTTTATTTGTTGTATATAGAAAGTTGACTCCATTATGAAGTCAACTGTTGACATCATAGCAAAACCGTAAAAAATCATATGCAGAAAACGGATGATACGGTCTCGTTACGGAATTATTCCGTCAGTGTTTGTATTCGTTAGATCATCATGCAATCGCAGGAATAGTTGATCTAATAGTTGCAGACTCCGACGGAAAGGTTACGTAACAGGACCGTAGCATCTCCCAATAATTAAACTTAATTACGAATAATTACATCAAGTTCAGCGAAAATCAACACATTAGTTGTGAAAATATTAGTTAGTTAATTCAATTATACATTAACATTTGCACGTCATATCTCCTTTGTTTTAAATGTTTTCTTGATCAACCTGTTGATTGTTGATTAACTAGGAGGAACAGGATCAAACAATTTATCCCACTTGACCGTATCATTATCCTTTTTTTATTTAATTAAATATTATTATTTTTTATGTTCATAGTGTTTTGGAATCCAGGGTAGATGGTATATTTAATATTTACTGACTATTATATTTTTTTTTGGTACAGGGACCTTCCGGTTTCCGGATCTACAGGGGAATCGACTAATCCGAAATCGAGCCGATTTCTAGCTCGCACGCTTCGATTCCTTTGTGGTAAATTCATCATTTTCATGGTTTGTCAAGTGGCTTGTATGAATTTTGATTTATTTCTAATCCAAAAATGACTACGTTTGGAATATCCATATATATCTTAGATATTTATGATCATTTTTAAGAGCATTACTTATGTTTATATAATATTTCTTATTTTAGATGTGATTTATAAGGTATAATTTTTTCTCAGCTCTTTCTATTTTCTTTATCTTTCTTTTATTATAAAAAATTTACTAACATAAATTATAAATAAATTTAAAAAAATAATAAATTTTTTATGCATAATTATTATTTATATATATATATCAAATTAATCATGTCCTGATGATATTTGATTTGACATGTATTGTACATAAAAATAAAAATTATTTATATTTATATTTATAATAAAATTACTTCATAAAAAATTATTTAAATCACTTTAACTACAAAATAATTATACAATATAAGTTAAAAAATTATTATAAAAATAAGATGGTAAGCCGTATAAGTGGCGGGTGCCATTTCAAATACAAACAAAATATTTTTTTTTTTAAGAAAATTAAAATTAAACTTTTTCTCAATTTTAATTTTAAATATAAATTTCTTAACAAACACTCGTGTAACACACGTGTATTGTACTAGCTAGTAATTAATAGTTCTAATAATAGTTATTATATGATACAATAAAAATATATATTATTACTCAATTATTATAAAATGTAACGTTTTTTATCTTAATTAACATAACCAGATTTTGGAAAGTTAGGTATAATTTCTGAGGTAAAATTTTTATTTAATGAATTGCTAGGAATTATATATATAGATAATAATTTTATCGAGGATGAGCTGCAATGGGATAAAGTTCAAATCTATATATATAATAGGAATTACCAATTTCAAAAATAGTAAGTCAAATTTTGGTCAAACTCCCTATCATTAATTACATTCTATTTATGACAATTTTTTTTTTGCTTAAAAAGGGGCAGCATTAAATGCTGCCCTTCAATTGTGGAATTTGTTCCTTTTAGTTAACATAAAATCGAATCATTAAATACATCCTTACAAATGTAGAATTTGTTCAATTACAAAATAAAGTTGTGTTCTGGAAATTGTTCAATCCATAAGTTTTAAAAATTAAAAAAAAAATACAAAAAATCTCATCTTACAAAATCCGGCATCAAAAATCTCATCGTGAGCTTACAGAATCCATCACATAAATCTCGGCAGTAATGTTTTTTTAAAAGTAAAAAAGTAACACACTCTAATACGTCTCAATTATATAAAATCCTATTTTATGTGTTGCGGCTTGCATTAATCTCGATTTGCATTTGTAAAATTGGGTATGGATTTGTTATGCGTACAAAATTCCTTATGAGGTAACAATTTTGTCTTAATCTCAGTTAAAAATAAAATAAATATCATTTTATTTGTAAAATTGATAAATCTGCATATAGTATGTAATTGTATGCGTACAAAAATTCTTTTTACGGTAACTAAAAAATAATAATATTTTTGAAATCTTTTGTACTCAAATTACTTAAAATAATAATAATAATAATTTTGAAATCGTCTGTACTCAAATTTTTAGGTACCATCATAATCATGTCAATATTTATTTTATATATACTATGTAAATTTTCTCCCAAAAATTTTATAATATCTTTATTTAAACTTATAATATTATAGATACTTTTATATAATATTTTATCATGTCATATTCTATATATATATATATATATATATATATATATATA